CGGGGGAGCGCGTGAGGGGACGTGAGGGGACACGGGGATGGGACACGGGGATAGGGACATGGGGGTGTGGGGATGGGGATGGGGGTATGGATGTGGGACATGGATGTGGGATATGGGGACGGACATGGGTGTGGGGATATTGGTGTGGGACATGGGGATAGGGACATGGGGATGGGATATGGGGATAGGGACATGGGTGTGGGATATGGGTATGGGATATGGATATGGGAATGGGATATGGGGGGACATGGGTGTGGGGGTATGGGTATGGGATATGGGACATGGATATGGGACGTGAATGTGGGATATGGGTATGGGGGGACATGGGGATAGGGACATGGATATGGGACATGGATATAGGGGGACATGGATATGGGACATGGATATGGGACATGGATATGGGGGACATGGATGTGGGGGGACATGGGTATGGGAAGGTGGGTATGGGGGATACATCAGTGGCAGGACATGGCTGTGCGGGGCTGTGCAGGACAAGGGCTCCCTTTGGGACAGGGATGGCGGGGGGTGCTGGGCTGCAGAGCCCACCCCAGTGGGAGCCGGGTCCCCAGGCCTCGTGTGCTGGCCCTGGGGTGTCCTGCAGGCACTGGGGGCTGCCCCAGAAGCCACACGGCAGACATTTCCATGGATTCAGGTCCGGCTGTGCCAGCCACCCTGCGGCGTTACCTCCAGCGCTCCGCTGTCACGGGGCAGGGAAGGACACCAGGCCAAGGGCTTGTGGCTGCTGTGGGGATTTGGCTGCAGCCAGCACCGGTGAACGTGGGCAGGCGAGCCCCACACGAGCAGCTCTGCACACCCCACTCAGTGAGACCACTGGGAATGCCAGAGGTGAGAGAGGCTGGGGATCCCCTCAGGGAAATCCCTGTAAGGCCTGAGGGCCCTGGGGCACCCCCATGACACACCCCAGCCCACAGTGCTCACTCAGCTCTTCCCCTCAGCCTGACAGAAGGGATCAGGGATCTTTCCTATTGTCCTAGCTACATCTGCTTCTATAACCCATCCCTGCTTCTGTCAACTGTTGCTCAGTTTTAAAGACCACTGCAAACCATTTAGAGGATTTGTAAGCCACCATAGGATCTATATTTATTTTTTTCCAGTAGTTCTTCTCCATTGCAGATGAAGGGAGCCATTCACTGTTACATCCCCTTGCATGCTACCCCAGCAGTGACTGAACAGGGGTTACATCCATCTGGCAGAACATCACATCAGCCCAGCACCACTCTGGGCCTCCTGTGACAGCTCCAGTGTCCCCACAGCTCTGGGGTGAGTCTGCCCAGCATGGGAATACAGCAGGAAATTCTGACAGTGATAGAAGGAAAAGACACAGTTTTTTGTTGGCCTGGTAAGTTGATTCACTCATGTGACCACTGTTTAAGGGAATGAGAGGAAAACAAAATGAGAAAGCTGCCCCTTCTGGCAGCCACCCACACGTAACGCTGAGCTGCTCTGACTCAAATCAGATGGACGCCTTCCTCTACTCAAAAAAACCCCAAAAACATCTATTTTCTGTTAATGTGCTAAGTCTGCTGTCACAGTTTGATTCTCTGTTGTCTGCACACCTCACCACTCTTGCCAAGGCTGGTGTCAGCCTGGCTCAGCTTCTGTCCCTGCTCACCCGGGACACACCAGCCACTGGGTTTTGTGGAATGACTCAGCAGTAACTTCCCCTGATTCTCTGGAAATTCAGTGATGCAGTATTTACTGAGAAATCAGGACTAAGAGCTTGGTGATCTTCTCAGGCAATTCTTAAAATTCTTCTGCATGGAAGTTTTAAAGATGGGTATGAACCAGTGGTTTTCATTCACTCTGGTTACGTATGAAAGACCATGTGAAATACCTCCAATATGGTGACACTGTTGTGTCAATTTTTTAAACAAAGAACAGAAAAATTACTGAATAATTTCAGAGGTTTTTTTCATTGAATTGCAATTTTTGTTGTCCAACATCCAACCTACCTAAATCACTGCTATCATTGCCCATTGCAATCAGCTTGCAAAATTCCCATCTATATATGTCTTTATTGTTGCCTATTCTTCCCTTTTGAGCAAGATGTTTTGTTTTAAAACCAGAAAAGCCTCCTTTGATGCCACTGAAATTGTGCACATTTGAGTCACCTAACAACACACTGATGGAGGGCTGCCCCAGGTTCCATTTGGATCACACTGAGGTACTTCCTCAGGCTCACTTTTTCTCATAACCTCTTTTAGCCTTGCAAACTTGCTAGCAGTGTCCCCAGTGGAGTCATAGGAAAGTGGGGAGATTGAAAGGGGTCTCCTTCTGCCTGGTGTTGGAAAAGCAGAGGTAAAACACATTAGTACAAGTAGCTTTCTAGGTCATACAGACTTATACACTACTATGATGAGGAGAAGCCAAGCAGATTTTTTTTTTTTGGATGAAGTATGAAGTACTCACTGGTAAAAAGAGCCTATCTTATGACTCAGAGGAAAAATATTATGAAATTATTAGTGCTATTAAACAGAAGCTCTTACTCTATCATTCCCTATTAGTAAAAGGAGTTAAAAGGTTTGCTTTGATATACACATTTCTATGTTCTTCATGAAAATGCCTTTAGTAATTTTCAATTAAAGATTAATTTCTCATCACATTTTTCAACCCATTGTATATTCTAATGTATTATCTTTATCCCCATTAGAAGGTTTCCCTTAACACCTAATTGCTTTTCTTTTTCAGTCACTGGCAAATTTGAACTCGTTTATTGCTTCACAAACCTCAAACCATGCAGGCTTTTATTAACTCAGAGATTAATTTTGTGGTTGGCACACTCCCTGCTTTCCAGCTCTCTTGGCATCGCTCTGGTTTGTACTGCTGGAAGTGCCTGGCAACCTCAGCTCTCCTGCAGCATTCCTGGCTGCAGCTTCCCTAGGGAAGAGAGGGCTCCCAGGGCATCACGAGTTATTTCTAGGCATACACCTAGAAATCACAGCATTCAGTGCTTTTAAAACATCAGGTGTTTTACCTGGTAGAAAAAAATAAATTAAATTGTGAGAGAAATTACAAGAAAAACAACATTTTTTTTCTCCATTCTGTTCACCTTAGAGGGATTGGTGAGCAGGAGGACATGAGCCAGAGAACACAATCCAGTATTGTCAGTGCTTCTGGAAATGTTGTGGCCATTCACAAACAGTGTAATTCCTCCAGACTTTGCTCTGGGAGGAGGTGAGCAGCTTGGGGCTTGAGGACAGGAGGAGTGCTAAGTCCTGCAGCCTTTCTTAACGGGCTTCCCATGATGATTTTGATTGCATAATTACATATATTCCACCTGAAACCTTAACTGGGTGCAAGTCCCACTTAATAATAAAACGTACAAGTAGTTTACAGCTTTCTGTGACCAGACCATTTCTTGCACATGACATTTCTCAATTGCTCCCTCCCATCACCTTTTACCCAGTGTCGAGGGCGTTTGCTGTTTTCTGTGTCTGGCTTTGCCCCACCAAACCCTGCACTCTCTCCCAGGTGAGGCACAAATGAGCTGAACAATCCTTATTAAGTGTACAGCATTTAGTGAGTCTCAGACTGACTAATCACATTTATGTGCTTTCCCAGTCTGACTGTACTCACTGTTATCTCCCATCTGTAACTGTAAATCCTCCAGGGCAGAGATCAGCACTGTTACCTGTTGTATATTACCTAGCTGAAAGGAGCCAAGGATTTTATGTGCTTTGGCAATAAACAGCATAAATATCATTATGCTTTAAGAACATTTGTGAAGTTTTTCTCCTTTGCACATGGTTTCTAAATCAGGCAGGACAAAAACCTATCTGGGGATCACATTTGTATATGAAATCTATCTTGTGCCAAAACTAAGATATCCAAGTAGCAGAGAAAATAAATCAGAAACTACTGTTTATTTATTCAGTCTCTTTAATGTGTATATATTAGCATGTTCCACCCTGCCTTTCTGGTAGGGCTGTATAAATATGTGCCTTAGCTCAGAGGAGGTTATGGGACCCACCTCTGCAGTGCACCAGCAGCCAGCTGGCCACATCTGGTCCCAGATGCTGCAAGCACACCTCTGCTAGCCCTGCACCAACAAGCCCTCCCTGAGGACAGCTGTGAGGCCTCCTGTGGTTCACCTCTGGCCCTGTTTGTTTGATTTTCCTGGCAAGGGTGTTGCACAGGGGATAAAATCCCCATAGCTCACTCTTTCTAATCCCCATGCATCTTTAGGCAAACAAAAAGAGGCTCATAAGAAAAGGGGCTGAGAAAGGACACGGCTCTGTGCCTTGGCTGTGTGTGTGGACATGACATTCCTCCTGCTGCCTTTATGTGTTTTCTCTGACCTCAGCTGCTTGCAGGCTCTGCCAGCTTAGATTTTCAAGTTCAGTAGGTTGGCAACAGCAGTGGCATCCCTCTGGGCTCTCAGACACGGGCATGGGATCTGCATGGGAATGTGACTCTTGAACTGAGTGCCAGAGCTCATGAACACAGACAGGTATACGGTAACTCATTAAATGGTGGTTAGCAATTATAGTTTCACTCTTCAAGATGATTCACATGCAGTTGAAAGCCACAAGTCTTTAAAAGTTTCCTTTGAAAGCTCCTTAAACTACTTTGGCAAGCCTGAGTTGTTGAACAATTTATCACTTCTCTGCCAGATGAGCTTGTGAAACCACTTTAAGAGGAAATTGTACAAAGTGCCCAAGATTGTCACAGATGAAGTTTCTTTTCTCTTGTGCCACTCAATCCTTTTTCCCCCATTTCCCAGACATCCAGTTCTTCATGGTTTAAAATAGCCTGGTGAGTTATTTCCATTACAACAGCAGCCTATCTAGTAAGTCGCATGTCTTCAACAGCAGTCAGAGGCAAAGGAGAATTCACTGCTCCATTTACCTGAACAAGATCTTTAAAACTCACTTTTTATAGTAGATGAAAAAAAATAAAATTCTCTGCTTTCCTATTCCTCTCACTAGCCCCATGACTGCCATGGGAAGCAGTAAAGGAGGTCACTCCTGTCTCCAGATTACTTCTCAGGGCCTTTGAAGACTATTCCCTCCACGGAATTTACCTTCCACTCTCCTTTCCTGGTTCCCTGCTGCCACAAAGCTGTAATGGAATCACTGTGGAGCTACTTGGCACATCCTTTTTGTTGGTACTTGCCCCTTTCCCTCTCCCTTCTATTTTTAAAATAAGGCAGAAGTCTTTCAGTCAGTAGGACTGACAGCCTTTGCCTAGCTCACATCATACCTAGGGAAAAGTGGGATCTGAGTGCCTTAATCTGCTTTCACACCTCCAGCACATTATTTCAGAAAGCTGCCATGCAGCACACACAAAAGCTCCCTGAGGGATTGTCCCCACCGAGGACACCAGTTTCCTGATGGCTTGCACAGGGTTTGTCCCATCCAGCCTGCAGCCTGGGCTGAAATCCTGGGGCACCACATCAGCACTGGTGATCATAACAGCAGGGCAAAGGCTGCCACACTGTGACAGAGGGTTGAGTTTGGCAGCAGTTGTCCCACCACAGGGAAAAGTTGCCAAGGGGACCCAGTAGGTACCTGCAACACTGCTGACTTCACTGGGGAGTATTCCAGTGAACGGGGGGGAGTTCCACCCTGACCAATGGACAGCATAAACCCCATACTAGGTAACCTAATTACAGCTAAATTACCCCAGGACTGCTAAGAAAAATAAAACAACTAGCTAAACAGAGCTAAAAGACCCCCACATACAAACCTTGAACATGAGACTCTAGAGAAACCATCACTTCTACCCAGCAAAATACAGCAGGCAAAGGACAAGAGTCTGTGCTTTTATTATTTAGCTGCAAGTATTTTACTGTGAAATGAATCTGCTGATCACTGCCCACCCAGCACAGAGGACAGATTCAAACTCTCTGGCAGCTCTCCTAGCTGAAGGTGATACCCTCTCCAGCTGAAGAATGCATGCACACTACTAATGGATCTCACCATCTAGCAGCTCAGTGTTTTGATTTCATATTAGAATTGCTTGAAAATAGGACCTTTAATATCCCTATTGTTATACATTTCTCTCTCAAAGTATGTTTAAAGGACTTAATCAGACTCATTTCCTTAATTTCAAGCATATCTCTGAAAACTTATTATCCCAGGCTGATGGCATCAAAGAGTGAATTAGGAATAAAGCCAAGTGAATAAAACCAAAGATATTTCCTTTCAGTTACTGTGCAGCCTTCACAGGCTGCAGAGCATTAGAGCTGCTGAAATACCACTGTCACATTCTTCAAGATCTGTGAATTGGTGCCTTGCTCTTACACCCTTGGCAGGAAGAGAGGACACGATCCCTGTTACACTTCGCCCAACAAAGCTGTGCTGTGATGAGCAGCTTAAATGTGTGGCACTGGAAAAATGTCTTTGAACTACTGCTGTCTGGGTTCCCACTTTCTGAGACATATTTATCACAGCAAAGTTACCCTACTAAACAAAAAAAAAAAAGCAAACCAAACCCTGGACTTGATTTTATAGCACATGAAGCCCTTGATTTCACCTTCTGTCCTTCAACATCTTTTGCAGAGAAGCAGCAGACCTTGCAGCTGCTCTGGGCCAGGCTGGAGGTCCACACAGGCCACTGTCTCAGCCATCTGTGATGGCAGTGAGCAGCTGAAGTGCTCTGAACTCTTGGGTGAGGAGACACCTTGCACCCCCTGCCACCAGGTAGCCAAACACAAATCAGCCATACCACCGGGGACTGCAACATGGGCAGGAACAGGGGCATTTCACATCCACTTCTTCAGGACTTCATCACAGATCCCAAACCAAGATGCCCCCATCCTGCCAGTTTAAGGAATAACCCTTGCTGTACTTTGAAACTGGACACAATTTTAGCCTGGTCCAGGGCAGATCAAGCAGTTATTGCTGAAGTGACTTCTGCAACCTAGTTCCCACAGCACCTCCTGGGAAAGTGCTTGGCAGACTGGCAGTCGATGCTGTTACAACAAAGCAGAGGGCTGGGAAGCCTTTCTTCTGCTTTGTGCTCTCCAAAGGCTCTGCTTTCAGAGAGGACAGGAACCAAAGCCTGTGTGCAGCTCTTCTCCCTGGCGTGGCGCCTCAGAGAATGAAGCAGGTTACGCTGTCTGGTCATTTGACCCACCATCAGTCATCCTCAATAACTTTTTCATCTCTGTTATTTCAACTAAATGGGTAAAGCCCATGAGTTTGTTATGATCTGAGACACTGTGCTTCTGCAATGCCCTCTGATGCCCCAGTGTCTCCCTACCCACCCCGCAGACTGGCAGCACTGCTGCCGCCGGGACTGGCGTTCCCTGCCCACATGGCCCGGCACCAGCTGGAACAGAGCAGGAGCTGAATGTGCTGATGGACAAAGAACATCTTATACAAGGGCTGCAGAAGGTCAGCTCACCTTCAAGGCACTGAAAAGCAAGGCAGGGGAGCATTCACAGGGTGGGAGCCCAGTTTCCCCGCATTGGGGAGCTGGGTTTGCTGGTGGGCAGCAACACCCCTCAGTGCCAGGCAGGGTGGGCAGCAGGCAGAGCTGCAGAGCCAGGGAGCCCTCAGGCTACGGCCAGCCCCGTGCACAAACCAGCTTCACAAAGCACAAGGTGAGACCATGTTAGAACATCATTTTGCTTTTCTGAAACTACCGACTTTAGAAGTTACCTGTGTTTCCTTTGCCCTCTGCTTTCCAAGCCAGGCTGCTCAGGCTCCCTCCATCTCTCCAGTCCTTCCTTGGGCAGAGCCAGGCCTGGAGCAGTGCTCTGAAGAAGCCGGGAAGGACAGTCAGCTGCTGACAGGAGCCAGGGTTTGCATGCACAGCTGTGGCAGCACCCCGGCCTTGCAGTGCTGCAGCCCCACAGCGATGGGCAGTTCTGGGCTTTCCCTTTCCCCGCTCTTGCCCGAAGATGTTCTCCCAACGTGCTCGCTTCAGCTCTGCAGTGTGGCAGCTCCAAAGCCACGGCTTCCAAGTAGCAGCTAATGCTGAAAGAGAAGCTGCTGGATCCCTTCCACCCTTCCTTGCCCTCTGGGGTCCTTTCTTCTCTATCCAAGGTTTTAGAGTAAGAAAGGTCTAATTATTTTTGCAGCTCGTAATTACTTTTGCAGCTCCACCCTAACAAGCAAGCTCGTCTGCTTCCCCAGGACAGGTCATGCCCTGACAAACACCTGGCTGCTTAACTGCTCCAAACAGAGCTTGGGGCTCTGCAGACACCCCGGGCTCAGCGTGCTGTGGGTGCTCTTGGTGGCTGGGAAACCCAGAGGGAGGACAGTGCAAGGAAGATGAGTGCACATCCCTTTTGACACAGCCGTGCACAGGAGCTCACCCGGGTGCACTGCAGCTTCTTGCTGCCTTCCCCAGAAGCAGCATGGCACCTCCCAGGCTCTGTGTCCCTAGAAAGGGCTCCTGGGGCCCTCGATGGCTTCATCCAAGACTGCCTGACTCCCAGGAATCTGGCTGGATCCTCCTTCCCCACTCTCCACGGCTACAAAACTGGCAGAGATGATCAACAGCAGAGGTGTGTCTCCTCACAGCCAGCCCAAAGCAGCTGAACTCCAGTCACCCCACAGGGCAGAGGATACCCAGCAAACACTGAAACCACAAGATCTGCCCAAACCTGACCTGGTGCCAGCCCTATCCCTAGCCCGGCTTGTGACCTTGGCTGAGCACATCACCCCTGACACACCTCTTGGAGAGGGGAGGCTGAGCAGGCAGAAGCATCTGCAGCCCCTCAGGAAAAGCCTCCTCTAAAGCTGCACCCGCTCAGAGCATTCCCACCCTGGCCATTGTTTTGGGAATGACTGGAAAATGTCAGCAGGGCACTGGGTGCGGGTGGGGGGGTCAGGAAAAAGGAAAAAGAGATGATTAGATTTTTTTTTTTAAATCAGCCAATAAAT